TATTCTCATGAATACAAACATAGCAACTATGTTATCCAATGTTCAAAACATAACCAAATGAATATACAACAAGTCTAAGTCCATGACTTGAATATAGAAACCACTTCTAAAACACAACTAGATCATGGAGCAAATTGATAGAATTTAAATAGATAAACACAATTAAATTCTATAGATTCCGATTCAATTCCAATTAACCTCAATTTAACACATGTTAAAGGACATGGCAAGGTCATCACCTATATCCATTCTAAAACTTAATTAGGTTGTGAGAACAACAGAGTAGAACTTTAATTAAATCATGCTAATTTAAATCCCAAAGTCCTAAAACAACATCAAATAGTCCCAAATTAATATATACTAGTAAACAAGTCATGGCCAATACAAATATCAAGTTAAAACCTTAATTAAGCTAATGGGACCACAAAATAGATTTTAATTAATTCTTTTAATTAAAATCTCTTGATTTTCAAACTTAACCAAATGCTCTCAAATTAACCTATGTTGGAAAACATGCCAAGGACTAATGTAATATCACATTACAAGTTTATTTCATTCAATTTACGACCATGCGAATTAAACCTTCACTAAAGTTAAATATAAAATAAAAGTTGCAATTCTCATGTAATAAATCCCAATTTAATACATATGAACAACCATACCAAAACTTAATTTTCTAGCATGCCACAATACAATTCCAAGTTGTATATCACCATGAGGATTAAATCTTAAACATGAAATTTAATTAAATAAAATGTTTCAAAACCTAACCGAATATTCTAAATCAAATATATGTGAAATTATATGGCATGTAAATCAAGAATATCAAGTTGGAATTTAAATAGAGTGAATAGTGCACTCGGGGCAAATTAATTAATCAAATTAATTAATAATTACTAATTTTCAAAACACCTCCAATCACTTTCAAATTCAACTATGTTGGAGAGCATGCTAAGGCCTAATTTAATATGCTGACACATATTAATTTTAAGCTAGTTAAGGCCATGTGAATTAATCTTTCACCTAAGATAAGTATTAAACAAAATCTTTAATACTTATTCAAATGTTCCAATTTTAATACACGACAATGAGCATATCAAGGGGCAATATAAAATCATGCTATATGTTTAAGCCAAGTCATGAGCAACTGGGAAAATTAGATCCCGTACAAGAAAAATAAATAATAAAATCTCTAGATTTTATATTTAATCATGCAAACAAGTAGTATAAGTATCACAAGCATGCTATATAACAAGAATTTAAACCTAGAACATCTCCTACCTCAATTTGAGATGAAAATCCCAAAGACTCACTAAAATAAAAGTGCTCCGAATTCGACGATACCGGGAAGTTTTGTCAGGGACAACGCCGTGAACATAACCCCCATGAAAGCCCCATCAAAATCATAACTTGACCTCAAAACCAAACTCAAGAAATGGTCAAAACTGAATTCTAATAAGGGGGAAAGGTAGAGCACAGCGAGGGGAACAACAAACGTTAAGGCCGAAGACTTTCTATCAAGGAAAAGTGAACCAAAAGAGGAGAGAGAAGATGGCAGCACCCCTTGGGCTGCCATGGGAGCTCCAGGTCGTGCATGAAGAGGGGAGAAGATGAAAAATGAAATATCTCACCCCCCTTTTATAGAAATCTCAAAAAGTGCCCCGAACGGGCCCCGCCGGGTCCGAAAAAGTAAAATTTGAGCAGACGCGCTCAAATGACAAAACTTTGTGAATGAAAAAGATTCAAAATGATAAAATATGAACAACGGAAGAAACGGCGTCAAAAATTGAGTCCCGAGCAGAAAGTTATGCCCAAAACAAGTTCAGCGGCAACCGGGTCCAAAAACTCTGAAACTGGAGAAAAACGACCAGAACAAAATTCTATGAATTTACAAGTCAATAAAAAGTAAAAATGAATCCCGTACGAGGATCCAGACTCAAAACAAGACATTTTGTAATAACTTTCATTAATTGCACAATGGCCTCTCCAAAAGTGAAAACTGCACTTATGGCCCAGAATGAAAATATCTTCCAACAATATTTTCTTAAAAACCCCTGAAATAAAATATCTTTAAAAGATATTTACGAAAAACACCCCAAGAAAAGAAAATAATTTTAAAGAACTTTGCATCCATGCCTTTATGGACACCGGGAGCAACAAGAGTACTTTCTTGCAAAAGTAAAGATACGTATTTCGAGGAAACCACTCAAGATGAAGGCACGTGAAGTCAAAAACCAACTCCGAGCATGAGAAGTGAGGTTGTGCCAACAATGTGACAAATGGGGAAAAGACAGAATAGGGAAAAAGACGAAATAGGGAAAAGGATGAAAGATGCATAGTGTCTGAAAAGTGAAAATGTAGAAATGATTCGGTCCTCAAAGGAAGTTGTCAATCCACGGAAAAGAGTCTTAGGAACTAATTCCGAGCACTTGAGATGACACTAAGCAACACGAAATAGAGCTCAGAAAAGAAAATTAAACGAAAAAAATTCATTCGTAAAATTTCAGAAAAAAAAGAAAGGAAGGCAAATGACTGGGTCGTTACATAAATTGCTCTTATTATATAAAATAGCATAATAATAAAATAAATTTGTGTTTCAGTTGTCCATCTATACCCCCATTGTTTAGCTAATTGTTGATTTCTTATTTTAATGTAATTGACTGTAATAATGTCCATGAATAAAAAAAAGTATACAAGTTGAGAAATTCTATATTTCAATAATTTTGTAAATAAATGAATTTGAGTATAATGCTATAAATAAAATTATAAATTAATCAGTGATAATATATATATATATATAAAGATAGACTCTTAAGTTAATATAGACCTAACAAATTAGTACTATTTATTTGATTTTCATATCTAATGGAAAACATTCACCCATAGAAAAATGAAATCCTTCGAGCCCAATAAAAAAAGAATGAAGAAGTCGGGTAAAATAGGAACGTACAAAAATAGTTGCTCTTTTATTTTTTGTGTGTTTTGTGCATGAATTGTTTTGGGGGAAAATAGTGAAAATTTTATTTTCGTGTGTTTTGTGCATGAATCGTTTTGGGGGAAAATAGTGAATCCTACTCTTATGAAAATAAAAAATAAATAAATAAAAATTTACGCTAACCAAACTCCTTATAAATTTATTTTTCTTCCTTTTTTTATTTTTTATTTTTATTTTTATTAAGCTATTTCAAGCTAACCAAATGAACCCAGGGAGTGAGTTTTATGATTTTAAACTTTTTTTTTTTTTTTTAAAGCAATTTTGTTTATTAAAATTGCGGGGTAGGTTGGGTAATTTACCTTAGGCTCAGTTTGGTAGAGTGGAAATGGGAGGAAAGGGAAGGGAAAGTGATGGAGAGTGATTAAAAAATTGTGTTTGGGTAAAATGAGTGGAAGGAAAGGAAAGGAGAGGGAAGGCTTTGGAGGGTTATATATAGCTTTATACAGTAATTTTCTTATCCTCCCAAAAATAGGAGGAAATAGAAGGAAAATGAAGGCAATGGTTGATGTAAAATTTGTGATGCCAATTTTACCCTCAAGATTATATATACATACAAGTTAGCAACTGTAGAGAGAGTGAGAGACGACGGGCCAGCGACTGAAGTTTGCGAATAGCGAACCCGAACTGGAACAGCGGCGATAGAAATTGAAAGATATGAGTTTTGATTTTCTGAACAATCTGAAATTATATACCAATACAGGTTTGTTTGGCTGTTTTTTTTTAGAGGCGTGCCAGAGTCTTTCGACCTAAGGGGTTGGATAGCCAAACTATCCTTGGTGCTAACCGAATATGAAATCGGCCCTTAGTGAATCAGGCGACTGCTGGAAGGCAAGGATGACCCCTTCCTTCAGGTTCTTCAACGCCTCAATAAAGAGGACTTTCAGCACTATATGTAAAATGGATGAAGGGAGTAAAACAAATTACACGAGCATTCATCTATTCCAAGAGACTTAGAAAATAAAAGTAGAGGGGATTGAAGCCAAGCGTCGACTTTTATTTCATAAGTAAAATTCCCATACAGAGTACAAGAATTATAAATCTAACACTAGAGGCTACTCCTGTGACCAGAAGTAAAATACAACTTAAAGGCTGAATGAAATTGCAGAGAATGAAAAACATTGATAAAGAAAATGCGTTATGTTGGTCAGGGACCTTTTGCACAGCTGTCTTTGGGTACTATTTATAGAAAAAAATCTTGTAACGGTTGAAAGTAGTTGCTACTTTCATGTTGTTTGAATTCAAACACTTTGTCTGAAGATTTTATCCAAAATGAACGTGTTTTTGGACGTGGCTTTAAATCGGGGAATTGTTGATTTTAGACTCCAATTTTGAATAAGAGTCCTATTTGTAACATACTCCTTGAAATAATCCTCTATTAGCCCATATATAAAAATCATATATCAATTAATTTTTAATTAATTGAATATTAACATATCGTGCAAATAGCCATGTGGCCCAATAAAAAATAAAATATTATTTTAGGTCGCAAATAAGGTTTTGAACTTTTGATTCTTGCAGATAGATAGATAAACTAAAATATATGGGTTTTGAACTTCTGATTCTTGTAGTGCACAGAAAGAGAGAGAGAGAGAGAGGGGGGGCAAGTTCAGAGTTGAGAACGAGAATGGAGATGGAGGCGAGATTAGGGAGGCTAAAATGATTTGCCCTAATTTTTTTTTTCCTTTTCTCGTGGGCCTGCTTGGAGATTATATATATATATATATATATATCAGAGTTGAGAACGAGAATATGGAGGCGAGATTGGGGAGGCTGAAATAATTTGCCCTAATTTTTTTTTCCCTATATATATATCTTTTAAAATATTAAAAAGATATAATAAACAATTTATTAAAATAATTCTCTTTACTTTTTTTTTAAATATAATTATTATCCTTTTATTCATTAATCAATCAAACATAATACCAAATTAAAATTATCTTTTCATTTCCATTTCCATTTTCATTTCCATTTCCATTTCCCTGGTAGGTATTGTTACCTTTCCTCGTAACTCCCTTCATACCCACCCTACCAAACAACGTAGCCTTATTCTCCACAGTAGACTAGTACACGTTCAATATTTTCCTCCCTCTTCGAAGGCGCAGCCCCATTGAAATTTGCTGTTTCTTCAACTTTTCGGTCGATTGAGTTCCCTTCCGCAGGAAATCGTCGCTGGACCAGTCATATAGACATATAGAGAGAGAGAGAAAGAGGGGTGGGGCGAGAGATAAAGAATGGGACAAGTTCAAAGCGACGTCGCTGATGCTGCCACAGTTGATCAAGGCAAACATTCGTCATCCTCATCCTCTGCGACTGACAACAATACACAACCAGCTTCATTGGAATCTTTAATCGCTGGTCTCTCTCTATATTCATATGTCTTATTTTGTGATTCAATCCTCATTCTTAATAGCTGTTTATAAAAATAAAAAATTTCTTGCTTTGTTAATGTTTTTCCCCCACCCCCAGTAAAAATAACCTTATGAAAAAGCAGAAATTTTAAAACCCTTTTTTTTGTTATTTGGGTAGAATAGCTAGAATTAGATGCTAAGATCTTCAATGCACACTAAACCCAGAAGAATTGCTTCATAAACAATGGCTATTTAGGGGGGAAAAAAAAAATTGGCGAGTCTAATTCATATCTTGAGTCCTTGTGGCACATGCAATTGTGCTTGTGGACTCAAATTTCGTTTATTTTTATTTTTATTCTTCTTCTCCTGTCAGTAGATAAAGTGCGTTCCGTGTATCACCATGAAATTCCGTCGGGCTGACAATCTGTAATGCTAATTGCATGATCTGAAATTTGACATGTTTCTATTCCAAACTGTTGGTTCATAAACCCATAAATCCTTTTTACCTCTGCATATGTTTTTTCCTATTGTTTAATGCAAAATATAAAATAATGTTGAATAAGAAAGTAGTTAAGGTTTTGGCAAGAAAAAAAGGTCATTGCCTAGTGTGGTCCCATTAATCGAGGGTGTCGAGAGGGGCAGACTAGATGGGGGACAGAACCTTCAGTATTTTATTTGCACAACTTGTCTCCTCTTATGATTCAAACATGTGTTCTCATGCTTGATGGCTTGATCATTCTACCATTGCAGCCCGTAGTGATTTTGCTAGAGAAATACAGAAGATAGGGCTTAAATATACAACTGAGCTTTACTTAATTTCTAACTTTTGGGGTTGGTTGCATGTTTGTCTCTAGCTAAGTCATAAAACTCAAAACATAACTGAGTACATATAGGAAGCATTCATACCCTACTTCCTGTTGAGGCTATTTCTCCATAAGCATTAACTGAACACCTTGCAAGAAATCAACAAAGATCTAGACACCGTTGTTGTACTGTCTGCCACTAGTTCTTTAATGAGCGTATCGGATTGGAGTGATAAATAGAGTAGGCATCATCCCTTCACAATTCAAATGAGTAACCACTGGTATATGAACCTCAAGTCTCTCACTATAAAACTTAGCCTAGTTGCACTTAATGCGGTTTAGAAGGACACCCACCTTGCTTTTCTTTTCACCTTTGTGAACTAAAATGTTTATTGCATACCTTGATTCTATCTCATCTTTTGCTAATATAATCCTTTCTCTATCCTAGATAGATAGTGATATTACTAGTAGAATTAGAGCGGGTTGGATCAAATGGAGACAAGCTAATAGGATTTTTTGTGATGAAGGAATCACACATAGGCTAAAAGAAAATTTCTATAGAACCGTTATCAGACCAACTATGTTGTATGGAGCAGAGTGTTGGGCCCTAAAAAGAAACAAGAACAACACCTTCATGTAGAAGAAATGGGGATGTTTAGATGGATGAGTGGAGTAACTAGAAGAGATAGGGCCACTAATGAAAGTGCGAGAGAAAAATTAGGGGTGGCACCCATTGGTGAGAAAATTAGGGAGAGTAGGCTTAGATGGTTTGGACACATGCATCAGAGACTTAGAAATTTGTCAGTCAAACGAGGAAGACTAGTTGTCATAGAAGGTAGGAGATGGAGAGGGTGACTAAAAATAATATGGGTGCTTCAAAGTAGAGCATTTACAGTGGGAAACTAACAAACCCATGCCAATCAGAGAATGTCAAATAAAATTGAAAAGGATAAAGGAAATAAAAGAGGAAAAGGATATGTGTCAAAACAAGAAGAGAATAGAAGCCCACAAAAAGGAACTAAGTTAAGCTCTAGAATTGAGCATAAATAGACAGCTTAGGCATTAAGACAGATTTGCCTAAAGGAAAGAACTAACAATGGAAAATAGGAGGCATTCTATGACCCACCACATCAGCTAACCAGTAATATTGTAACATTTTACTAAGATCTCTAAAATCCTAAAAATCCAATGTAACTACCTATTGGGTAAGGATCCAAATCAACTTATCTACTCCAAGGCCAGGTCTAAGTTATCTATTTTTTCTGATCTTGTTCTTTCTTTGGTTTTCTTCTGTTCCTTTGTAGTAAATGTTGAAAATGTAAAGTCAAAATTTTTTATCGTTGGAAAATTCCGTTGACAAAATAAGTCTTGTAGTGGGTTGAACACAATATCATTCCTGTCTCCCATTTGTCAAATATCAATATTCATACAAAATGGAGACTGGATGTTTAAGATGGAAGTATATTGTCATCTCAATATGCTTCACGTTATCCGGTCACACCTTTGGTAGAGGTGAATGAAACTTTACCTAGAACCTAGGGTGGCTAATGGGTCATAGTCAGACCACCCTCGAAGTTGGTCTGGATGTGTTGTTTTTTTAAAAAAATGAGTAGTGCATTATTGCAATCTAAAGTTGCACCTGTTTATTCTATTAAGACTGCCTGGAATTTGATTCCAATCTGCACTGGGACACCCTGATGAATTTTCAAAAAAACTGGATTCTAGAGAGTTGTGCACTGTAAACCCAAAACCTTAACTGGAGTCTGGTGGTACACTGCTCTATTTTGAAAATTTTCACTCCAGGAATGCCTGCACCGGTACCACCTGTTGGCCAGGATGAAAATTTTGAATGTTTCCAATCCTAAATCAAACTTGAATTTGCCCATTCTGAACTGGGCATTCATTGTCGGAGAAGACAAGATTTGTCGGTGTGCGGTTGAATTGACAGGTCAGCGAGTGGACTTGGGAGACTTAGTTGTAGGACAAAGGGGTCGGCAACAATTTGACTTGAAGAGACTGAGTGGTAAACTAGGCACAAATCTGAGGCTATCAACAACTGAGTCTTGTAAACATTCTGAGTGTAAGACTGAACCACAGTCTGAATGTAAATTATTTTCAAATAATGGATTGTTTTGTTCAGTACTAGGTCTCATGGTTTTTTCGTGTTAGGGTTTTCCATGTAAAAAAATGGTTCTCTCTCTCTCTCTCTCTCTCTCTCGCTCTCTCGCTCTTTATGTCTATCTCTCTCTCTCTCTCGCGCTCTTTATCTCTATCTCTCTCTCTCTGTCTCGCTCTTTATCTCTCTCTCTCTCTCTGTCTCTTCTCTTCTTTATTTATTTATTTATAATTCATTTCATTATATGGTTTGTGTAATTGATTGATAAGACGGATTAAATCTGCACTTGATAATAGTTTAATTTTAAAATCAATCAAAAGAGCGGAGTAGGTCTATTCACCCCACCTCTAGGTCTAAACATCATTTCACAAAAAAATAAAAACCACATCCACAATGCAACTCTGAGAAAATTGCGCTATGGTCCAAAAACCTCTTTGAGCTTCTCTCTAATTTTAACTTTCTTTTGTTTTACTTCCTCCGTCTCAATTTAATTGTCCCTTTTTGGGATTCTAACTTTGTAAGGGGACATGCATTTAATGCAATGTCCTCTTTCAAAGTTACCATTTGAAGTTTAGCTATTTATATTGTCAAGTTGGGAGAATTTTTAAACTTAAAAGATACTTTTGGAAAGATAATCATTTTACTTTGAATTTTCAAATGGGGCATGAATATTAAATTTTGGGACAACCAAAGTCGGAAAGATGGACAATTAATTTGGTATACAGGGAGTATCAAACGAAACCACAAAATAAAACAATGTAACAAAATGTTAAGCAAATTTAGGGGTGGGACTCGGATGGGCTGGGCAGCCTAAGCTAAATATGAGATTCTGTCCTCTTAGGCCATGCTATGTCCAAGACCCTAAAAACCTCAACTCATGCCATCTCGTATGGTTTCCTCGAGTTGTTCGGGTTTGTCCAAATTTTCAAAAACAAGTTACATGGGTAATATAACATGCTATAAACATGAAAAAAAGTGTAAACATAAGAGTAATGCTATTCAAGCCTACTAAATAGGATCGACTTTTCAACCAACTTAACCACTGTTAGAATGTTATATATATATATATATATATATATATATATATATGTATATATATATATATATATGTTGGACCATTATGTAATTACATACAATTGGTAGGGCCCTTGTGTTATTTAGTTGACTTGTATCCTTTATATAAGCCTACATAGGCTTATTAGGTTGTGGGTGTGAAATATATACATACAAGTTCTCTCTCTCTCTCTCTCTCTCTCATGATTTGAACATGGTATCAGAGCTACTCTTTCTTGGTGGCTGCTAGTTCTCAAATCAGTGCTTCCGCTGCGTCTGTGTGTTCTTGTACAAATCAAAATCGAGAGAGAAAGAGATAGTCTCTGATCGACACCGGAAATAAGAGAGAAAGAGATGTTCTTCGCCGGAGCTCTGTTCGTCGTTTTGTTCAGAGCCGGAGATCTGAAGCTGGTGTTGTGGTCAGCGCCTCTGGTCTGTTGTTTTCAGATCTGAAGCTCTTTTGTTCTCAGATCTGAAGCTCGTGTTGTATCATCGCTGTTTTTTTTTGTTGGCTTGCCGTCGCAGCTGCAAGGGCTAGGGTGTACTAGCCTCGATTCTTCATTCGCAAACCTCTGTTGCTTAATTTTAGTGTCGATAGCAGATTTCTGTTCTCGTCGGCGCTGATCGCAAAGAAGAAGAGACGTGTTTGGTTGCAGGTGTGAAGCTATCCCAACCTTGGTTTACTAAAACCAAGTTTGCAGAGATCTGGGGCTGGTCCGACCTGTTTCAGATCCAAACCATTTGACCAGATCCGACCTGTTTGACCTTTTTTCGGACCATTTGCCCAGATACGGCCCGTTTTCCAGGTTCGGCCAGAATACAGATTCTGCATTTTTTTTCTTCTTTTATGTTTTTGCTGGGTTCACCATGGTGTCTAGTTCAGATTTGTTTTCTCTCACATCCGGTCTTCATTCTCCCATGACTTCAGTTAAACTCAATGGGAAGAATTACATACTATGGGCTAAATCTGTTAAAATTTTTCTCAAAGGTAGAGGCCTTGGTACTCATTTGACGAAAGAGAAACTCAAGGAAACG